ATGGAGGCCTGCCAGGGGCTGCGGATCTGTCAGCACAGACCGGTCAGGGCTGCCCCCAGTGTGGCTCCTGACAGTCCGTGCAGGAAGGAGGGACCTTGGGCTCAGGGAGCAGACCCTGGGGAGCTGCTCTCCCCTGGCTGCTTTCCAGGCCCGGGGCAGGCCAGGGGTGGTGTAGAGCGCCGGGGGTTAACACAGCTCTGTGAGCTCAGACTTCCTCCGCTCAAGGTTTCACTTAGTCATTCTAGAACTCTGCCCCCAGGTTCATACTCCTGGAGCTACATTTTTTTCTGATCAAGTTCTGACCTCATTTCCTTCTTCCTTCCTGTGTCCCCCTCCTACCATTTGGCCCCCTAGTCTTATGTTGTGAGGCCCCCTGTTTACAAGATTTTAAAAAAATTTTTTTTTTTTGGCTGGGGGGGGGTGGGGTGGGGCTGGGGGGGGGAGGATGACAGACACACCCAGCTGCGCTCAGGAATTACCCCTGATGGGGCTCAGGGAGGAGGGATCCAACCTGTGCAAGGCCAACGCCCTCTCACTGGAGCTGTTGCTCCAGCAGTGCCTAGGGGATTTTTACCTGGGGCCCTTTGGAGTCTCCTGGGGCCCCTGGGGGCCTGGCCGAGAAGGAGAATTCTAGAGAATATCTGCTGCTGTTTGGTGCTGTTTGGAACATGCACTTTCCTTCTCTGCCCCAACTTTACACAGACCAGGTGTGAAGAAGGCCCCCAGGGGTGATTTCCCCAGAATCTCCCTGGCCAGCCTGTCCTTGGCACCTACCCTGTGGCTGCCTTGAAGAAGAGCTCACCCCATTTCCTCAGGCTTTTGACAACTCCCCAGTCCCCTGCGGAGGTGGTGGTGGGGGGCCGGACGTTTCCCTGGTTCAGAGAGCGGCTGGGAGCCTGTGGAGGGGGCAGCACCCTGCTTCGCACCAGCCCCCCTTCGGCGTCTTCCTTCCAGCCACCAGCCCCTGTCCTGACCTCCTTTGCCTGGGTCTCTGCAGGTGCAACTTGGAGCTTCCTGCATTGTTCCTGGAGCATGAAAAGGTCCTGAGACCCCCGGGCTAGGCTTAAAGCTCTTTCCCTGTTCTCTGAATTCCCTGCACCTGCCTGAGGACACTGTAGCTCATGCCCGGACACTGTAGCAACTGGGAGTAGGGGGGGGGGGGGGCTCTCACTTTCCACCCCAGCCTCTCCTCTCCTCTCCTCCCCCTGCCTGAGGGAGGGAAAAGGGGCAGAGCTGTGCCTGGTGGGGACATCTGGGGCAGGGTTCAGGGACTGCCTGCAGCATAGTTGGAAGCCTAATGCCAGGCAGGGCTGGCTGTGGACAGAAAGCAGGTTGTGGGGGCCAGCACTGTTGAAACCAGGATCGAGTGTTATTATTGGGGGTGGGGGCCCACCCTGTGGTGCCCAGGAGTATCCCTCTCTTCAGGGCCCACACCTGGCGGTCAGGGGTAAGGTGGGCATTTGAGGTGCCAGGGATCAGACCAGGGTCAGCTTTACTCCTGTGCTATCTCTCTAGCCCTGGACCACATTTGGACTTGGTGTGGGGACACTAGATGGTGGAGGGAGGGAGTGGATGCACCCCAGGGTGTGGGTGCTGCTCAGACAATGATGCCCACGTGATGAGGTCTGTGAGAGCCCAGGGCAGGAGAGTGCGAGGAGAGGGCAGGCTCAGAAGCTCTGGCCTCGTGGGCTTCTGTCTGAAGGCATTCTGTCCACCCTGGAGAACCCCTTCAGTGTTTTTGTGTTTGGTTTTTTTTTGGGGGGGGGGGCACATCTGGCTGTACTCAGGGCCTACTCCTGGCTCTGTGCGTAGGGATCACTCCTGGCGGGGTTACTGGGACCGTGCATGGTGCCGGAGATCAAAGCCAGGTTGTCTGTGTGCAAGGCAAGTGCCCTACCTGCTGTCCTGCCCTTCTGCCCCACCTTTCAGCATTTCCTAAAGAACAAACATCCATTTATGACAGACTCTTACTAAGTTTTGTCTGCACAAGTTTTTCAAGGCCGATTCACCTAGATTTTATCATGCTCGTGTGATATTGTTTTGACTTTCAGCTCTTCTCACCTCTCCATTGTCATGCTGGCCGTGGTTTCTTAGCTCTGCAGTCAGTTTAAGTTTCTCCTTAAATAGTGGGTGCCTTTGTCCAATTTAAGGCTTTCAGTTTGGTTTCATTGTTTGATATTTTGACAATGATTTATTTAGCTCTTCTTTAAAAAAAACCTTTGGAGACTCCAAAGGGCCCCAGGTAAAAATCCCCACAGGTGTTACATTTACATCACGTTCAGCTCTCGTACATTTGAGTATTGCTTGTGGGACTCTGATTTCAAATATTGGGTCTTTCCACCATGTTCCATCGGCCTCTTACACTCTTTCCTGTATTTCCAACTTTCCTTCCTCTGACCCTCCATTTGGATATTTTCCAGCCGCCTTACGGTTCACTAATCCCGTCTGCACTGCTCTTGGACCCATTTGCTGAGTTCTTAGTTTTGCTTATATTTTTAGCGGTAGAGCTTCCCTGTCATTTTATTTTGGAGATTTATTTTTGCTTCCAGCAAACAAATGCCTGGGAGTGTCCTGACCAATTTCAGGATGTGTGAGGAGGCTTTCACTCAGCTCTGTGCAGTTCCATTGCCGGGCTGATCTGCATCTCCATCCCTGTCGAGGGCCTATTTCCCTTCCACTTGCTCTGAGAATGGGGGTTACGAGGTGGATCCAGGACCCTGCTCCATGGCTGCCGATATTTTTGTCTCGTCCCATGCAGCTTCAGCAAACTCTACTTGTAAGTAGAAAAATACTCTCGGAGGTGGGGCCGGAGTGATAGTACAGCGGGTAGGGAGTTTGTTTTGCAAGTGGCCAACCTGGGTTCCACCCCCAGCATCCCTTACGGTCCCCCAAGCACCGCCAGGAATAAGCCCTGAGCACTGCTGTGTGTAGCCCAGAAGTTGGAAAAAAAGAAAATGCTGTCAGGGAAAGCAGTGCCCAGCCGGAGGCTCGCCAGGGCGTGTTCATTGCAGCCCCTGAAGTGTGGATTGCCCGGCTGCTTCTCTGAGGCCAGCAAATAGAGCCTAAAAACTCCGTCTTGCTGTCCAGGTTTTTGTTTGTTCATTTTTGTTCTGTGGCCACAAGGGTTTTGTTCAGGGGTCACCTGGTGGTACTCCAGGGACCTTGGAACTGCCGGGTATGTAAAGCATGTATTCTAGTCTGTCGCTCTCTGGAGCTCGTGGGGTGGGGGTGGGGGAAGGGGGTTGTTTGGTTGGTTGGTTTTGGGGGCCATACCCGCCCTTGCTCAGGGCTTACTCCTGGCTTCGTGCTCAGGGATCATTCCTGGCAGGGCTCAGGGTGCCATATAGGGTGTTGGGGACCGAACCTGGGTTGGCTGCATGCAAAGCACGTGCCCTACCCACTCCACTGTTGCTCTTGTTTCCCTCAGGGTGTTTTTTTTTTTAAGTGGTTTGTGGGGGACTGGTGGAAATGGCACTTATTCTTGGTCCAAGTGACAAAGACCAGCCCTAAGAGCAGAACCTAGAGTCCCCGACCTTTCCCAGAGAGTCTTACCCTTCGGTGATGGTGTTGGGGGACAGTCTTTTCACCAGCTCCCGCAGAGAGAGTCGGGGGAGCATATCACCCTAGTCTCCTCCCCCCTCCCCCTTAGCCCCTTGTCTGTGGCCACAGGGTCAAGTCCCTCAGCTCCCGGGACTCAGATGCTTCTGCCCATCGGCCTGTGCTGTTCCCACCTGTCAGTGCTCTCTGCCCCGTGCTGTCCAGCCTCTCTGTGTACCCTGCCCCTTCTTGTGGTCTGCCGAGCCTGGGGAGCAGGAGTCCAGAACTGTCCCCCGAGACCTCCCTCCCAGCAACCGACTCCCCTCCGAGCCCGTGCAGTTGTTGGTTTTCCCCTCACTCATCCCTGCAGTTTCCTTCCCACACCCACTTTCTCTTCCTCTTTTCTCCCCACTCTGTTGTGACCACAAGTTGTGCACCCATTCGCACCCCACTTTCTCTCAAAGAGCCTGCGGTGGTGACCAGACCATCCCCCGCTAGGGTTGGGGCTCAGGGGGGTGTCCCCCTCCTTGGCTGGCTGGGGCGGGCAGGTTTCTGCATGCAGCCGTGCTGCCACCAAGGGTCAGCCCGGCCCCAGCCGTCAGCTGGGGCCAAGAGCCAGGGACAGGACAGGTGGGCAGTCAGCTGTCATGTCCAGGGACAGCAGGCAGGTTCTACATGGTGGGCGCCACACTGGGAGGAGTGTGCAAGCCCCTGGCTTCAAGGGGGCCCTTGAAAGGGAAGAGTAGGGGGTTGGAGCAATAGCACAGCGGGAAGGGCGTTTGCCTTGCAGGCGGCCGACACGGGTTTGATTCCCAGCATCCCATATGGTCCCCTGAGCACCACGAGGGGTAATTCCTGAGTGCAGAGCCAGGAGTAATCCCTGTGCATCGAGTGGAGCAGGCTGCTGCCGCCTCCTGACAAGGACCCTGGCCCCTTCCCTCTCTCTGCGGGGCTCTTGGGGTCTGCACCAGTGGCACGTTCAGGTCCTCTTATTGGGTGTTGCCTGTGCTGTTGTCAAGGTCACTGCGTGGACTGTGGCTGCCCCATCCTTGCAGACATCCATGCCCACTCCCACAGCCCCTGTCGGCCAGCCCCAGGCACACGTGTGTGAGGACGCGGGAAGCAAGTACCGCTCTGACTTTCTCCTTCAGCGCAGCTCAGCCCGTGGCCACCGCGGGACCGTTCTGGGGAGCCAACTGACAACCCTGCCCAGACCAGGGCCTGAATGCTCGCTGCAGGCCAGCCTGCCCGGGAGGGTCCCAGCATACAGGCAGGGTCTCGAGGAGCCAGCCCGGCACCAGGTGGCAGATGGGGAGGGTGCAGAAGCTCAAAGAGGGACTCCAGTCACCAGGATGCTCCTGCCCCCACCTGTGTGGCTGTCACAGGCCTGAGCAGCGAGAGGTCAGGGTGTGAGGTCAGGGAGCCTGTGCCCGTGTCATCTCTGCCCTTCTTGGCCCTGGCAGAGAGCTCCGGCTGCGCAACTATGTCCCCGAGGATGAGGACCTGAAGAAGAGGAGGGTGCCCCAGGCCAAGCCCGTGGCAGGTGGGTTGCAGCTGTGGGGTGGCAGCGAAGGGCATTCGGCACTGAGGAGGCTGCTGTGCCTCTTCTGCCTGCTCACCTGGACCCTTTGGGCCCTGGAATGTCAGGATGAGTGGCCCTGTGACAGACTCCTGCCATCGGGGGGATTCCTCTGTGTGTATTTGGTGGGGGGGTGGGGAGTGGAGGGTGGTTCTTATTATGCACATCATCCCTGGCCAGTGCTGTTTTGATTCTTTTTGTTAGCACATTTTGTTGTTTGTTTGGGGGCCACACCTGCTGGTGGTGCTCAAGGGAACCACGTGGTACTGGGGACATCAGCACCCTAGACCTTTGAGTCCTCTCCTTGGCCCGCGGTTTTTGATTAGAGATCAGTGACTGTATCCCACATCCTTTCACTGTCTCTGCCAGTCACTCATGGCCTGGGCCCTGCTGGGTGGGGGCAGCAAGGCTAGACAGAGAAGAGGACCTCTGCCCGGGTCGGTCTCCACGATGGCTGGAGGGAGTTGAGGCAGGGTGGGGGCGCCCAGATCTTCCGCCTCTGTCCCCTCAGGGACACGGGGCACTCCCCCGGAACTGTTGGATTCTGGCCCAAACAGAGCCAGGTGGTGCCCAGGGCCCCCTGGCATCCTTCAGGGGGTCCTGGAGTGCACATCTGAGAGTGGGATGGGCTCAGCCAGTCCAGGACCCAAAGGATGACTTAGCTCAGGAAGCCCAGAGGCAATGGGAAGAGAAACCCTCGTGGCCTGTCACAAAACTGGGCCTGGGTAGATCCAGGCAGCCCACTCACCGCGTAGTTGGGGGCGCCACCGGCTTCCTGGCCGGGGTCTGGGGTCCATCTCTAGCTGGCGCCCTCTTGCCGCCTCTCCTTCACCCCAGGGTTGCCTGCAGCCTGAAGCTCAAGCCTTCCTCCATAGCTGCCTTTACCAGGGAGGGGGGGTTCCCCGTGCGGCTGGGGTGCAGTGGCCACACTTGTTGTCTTGCGCCCTCTAGTGGAGGAGAAGGTAAAGGAGCAGCTTGAGGCCGCCAAGCCAGAGCCTGTCATTGAGGAAGTGGTGAGTGTGGGTTACTGGGTCTCTGGCCTGGGGGGGGCGGAGGGGGGGCGGTCGGAAGCACGACTGCTCTTTTCCCCAACCTGCTCTCCCCAACTTCACTTCTGTATCACCTTCCTCCTTCCTCTTCCTCCCGTTCCTACCTCTGTTCCTTTTTACTACTCCGTCCAGTGCTGGGCCCCTTCATTTGTGTCTCTTTCCTTCCATCCCCCGCCCCCCTCCCCAGGACCTGGCGAACCTCGCACCCCGGAAGCCTGATTGGTGAGTGTTGCCGTGTCAGTCAGGTCCAGCCTCCTGTCAGCGCCTAACGGAGGGGCTGTCAGGGGTGGACCTCGCGGGGACGGGGTGAGTGTGCCCACAGAACCCTGGGCTGGAGACATTCAGCCTTGTGGAAATTCAGCCCTTGCTGGCAGGGCTGGGCTGAGCATGTGGCCTGCAGGATGCCCCCTGGGCCGGGCAGGTCAGTCTGCTAAGGGACCAGACCTGAGAGAGGCCCCTTGACAAAGCACAGGCCCTGGGCTCAGTGCCCTGGGGCCAGTGGGTCAGGGGTGCTGATGGGGGCTTTGGGAGATGGAGGAGGCTTTCCTGGCCTCCCGGCAGGGTTGTCCCCTCGGAAGACCGGGCCCACGGCCCCGCAGGCCACCCTTCAGTCTCGCCTTCCCCCACCTGCCTCCCTGCTTCAGGGACCTCAAGAGAGACGTGGCCAAGAAGCTGGAGAAGCTGGAGAAACGGACCCAGAGAGCCATCGCCGAGCTGATCCGTAAGTGTGGGCAGGTGGACCACACTTTGGGAGGCGGGGGGCAGGTGCCCATCAGAGCCCCCCTCTCCACCTGTCTTGTCTGCCCTGTGTGCAGGCGAGAGACTGAAAGGCCAGGAGGACAGTCTGGCCTCTGCAGTGGCTGCCCCTACCGAGCAGGAGGCCTGCGACTCCGACTGAGCACCACCCCCACTCGCCACCTCCCTTCGCCTCCCTGTGGGTTCAGGACAGGGACCCGCTGCCCGACTTTGTGAAGCCCCCCTGGGGGGCAACCTTCTGTCCTGTGAGTGCCCCTGCGCCGAGTCTGGGCTGCTCACTCTGTACATATGTATGTTTCCATTTTTTTTTTTTCTAAATAAAAACAAACCTGTGCAAATAGAAACAGGGAGAACTCTGTGTGTACAGTACCTGGGGTGCTCTGAGGTTTGGACCCCAAATCGGGGTGTCTGCCAAGGAGATGCACAGCAGGTCAGCTCTGTGCTGGGCGGGTGTCTGAAAGGCTGTGGGCTGCTTTCTTGTCTTTGGTCACTGCGGACACTGAGTGACAGAGACAGGGCCTGAGAGAGTTCCCGTGAGCCCCCACATGTCTAGGCCTTGGCGTATCCATGGGCTCCCACCATCTGTGGTCCTTCAGACGCCTGCTCCCAGTGGGGGAGCCTGAACGAAGAAGTGGCCTGTGCGGGGAGGAATGCGGGTCTGGGCGCCTCAGACTCCATCAGCCTCTGCCCAGCCCAGGGATCCTCCCTCCCACCAAGCTCGACTGGGGCTTCCCTGGAACAGGCTCCAGCACCAGTGACCTGAAACACCCCTAACACCGGGTCACTGAATAAAGAAGAAGAAGAAGAAGAAGAAGAAGAAGAAGAAGAAGAAGAAGAAGAAGAAGAAGAAGAAGGCCCTCCCGTTGATCATCGATTTGCTCGAGCGGGCCCAGTAACGTCACCATTGGAGACTTTGTTGTTACTGTGTCTGGCATACCGAATACTCTCGGTAGCTTGCCGGGCTCTCCGAGAGGGGCGGAGGAATCAAACTCGCGTCGGCCATGTTGGCCGCTTGTAAGGCAAACGCCCTACCCGCTGTGCTATCGCTCCAGCACTGAATAAAGATCGCAGAGAAATGTGTCAGTCCCACGGGGAGCTGGCCAGAACATCTGGAATACAGAGGCAAAGAGGTGAGGAAGGCGGCAGAAGGCTGAGGCCTGCCTTTTGCCTTGAGGAGATTTGACGTACCAGCGGAATCCTAGTCGATATTGGGGGGCTAAGAGAGCCCAGTACTTGTCTATAATGAGGGCCAGGGTAGGCGAGGTTAGAGGATAGTACCCTCTTGTCTGTGCTCCTGAAACTCCAGGGGGAGGCTGGCCTTGGCCTCATGGCCAGTAAAGCAGACAGAACCAGCCCTCGTGTTGGTGCTCACGGGAGAACCTCCCGTTCAAGGTGGTCTCAGACTCTTGAGTCTGAGAAGAAAACACAGATCCTACTTTGGACTTTTTCTCATTTCTCCTCCAGCCCCCACCTCCCCCAGTGAAGCTCCACGAATGATGAGCGGTTACAGGAAAGTTCCACAGATAACCATATTCCATCAGAGTGATCGAAAGCCTGGTGACCTTATACGTACCAGCAGTTGCTATACATTAGTGACTCTGAAACTCATCCGACAGTTCTTTGGATCGGACATTTGGGGTGGCTCGGCTGGGTGGGTCTACTTGGGTCTTGGGTAAGGGGGACACAGAGAAGATCTCACAACTGAGGGCTTGTCTGGGTCTTCTGAAGCTGCTCCCAGGGGCCACTGAAGGATAGAATGGACGTGACAGATCCATAAATGCTGTTCTGAAACATTTAAACAGCCGAGAACGTGGCTCAGTGGTAGAATCTGCCCTGGATTCAACCCCCAGCACCAACAAATACAAATGCTGACAGGGATCTTCAGACCAAAGGGACACAGTCCCAGATGGGCAACTGTGAGTTCACACAGTAAATTGTGGGGACTGCTGCTGCTAGGCTTATGTGTGTTCGGTGGCCCAGAGCCGCCTCCCAGCCTCCCCACCTCACCGGGGCTCCCTAAGAGAGACAGAGAGATGGCAAGATAGGGACCACAGTCTGATGATGAAAATGGCCCGTTTAATGCAGAGCTGCTAGCATACTTAGAGAACATCTGAAGGGGGGGGGGGGGGGGGTTGAGGTAAGGACATAGTTGTGATTGGTCATTTACATAAATAAACATTTGGCAGAGGAAGCTCTCTTGGGGAGATCAACTCAAGAAGACACTCTGTCTCTCAGGGACATCTACATTGTTTTTATCTTTCCTGCTAGTTGTGTAAGTTATCAATACTTGCAGTTGTTTGGATAAACACAGTAAGAGACAGAGATCCCAACACTTAGTTCTCTGGGCTCTAAGAGCAAGCAAGGCTTTTACCGTAAATCCCAGACTACATCCTCACGCCAGTTCAGCTTGTCCTTTCTCATGGGAGTCCTGTCTCTTAGGTTGTAACAGCTTGCATCAAGACTATGGATTTATGCTTTCTAGAATGTCCCGTTTCGATGCCGGATAGTTTTGCCACTCGCCCCCCGGGTTCATCCCAGTCCCACGGTGGGACCTTCTTTTTGGGATATTAGGGATTACAGCAACTGAGTCAAGTAATATGACAAATTAATTATGCTCAAGAGCAGGTATATTTCAGATTCAACCAACTCCCAAATATTAGGAGCAAAGCATAATGGTCTTTCTGTGTTTAACAAAAGAACATTGCTCTATAGTAAAATATAAAAATGGCTATAGGGAACATAGAAAGCAGGTACAGATATACAGCACTTCAGATACAAAGCAGTACAAATACAAAGTTCAGAATTATCAGAAAGTTTTGGCTTATAAGTAATCAAGACTGACTTGGGGAATTATGACAATGAGAGGTAAAATACAAGGGAAAGGTTAAGGATAAACTTCAACCAAATTAGGGATGCTAGCAAGAGCATGTTAAGCCTCTCTGGGCGGAAGAAAGGGGGCAATTCACTGATGAAGCCTAAAGCACTCAGAGTTGATATCCAACAGGCAACCTGAGATGTCAGAAGTCAGGAGGAAGAAGGAAACGTAAATAGGCACTGATCTTATAAAACGTATTTGTGGAGTAAAAGTAAAATAAGGGCAACTTAGAATACAACTTATTTACAACCCTAGCAAATAAGACGAGATAGGAGTGCTTGAATGACAGCCCTCTGCAAAGCTCACTGAAAAGAGAAAAAACTCAAAAGTCAAAGAGAAAGTATAGAACAAGTCTGTCAATCCCAGCCTCTCTCTAATTACAATTAATGCACTAGATGACTTTTTTTCATAGGGAAGGAGCACACCCAGCGGTGCTCTGTTTATGAGTGACCCTTGCAGTGCTCAGGGGACTGTATGGTGCCCAGGAGGACTGTATGGTGCCCAGGATTCAAACCAGGGTTACAGCCATTGTGGCCATATATAAGGCAGATGTTCCTCCTGTACTAGCTCTCCGGCCTAGATAGCTTTTAAAAAAAATCTCCCTGTATAGGGACTGGAGCGATAGCACAGTGGGTAGGGCATTTGCCTTGCACGCAGCTGACCCGGGTTCAATTCCTAGCATCCCATATGGTCCCCTCAGTAATTCCTGAGCGCAGAGCCAGGAGTAACCCCTGTGCATCTCTGGGTGTGACCCAGAAAGCAAAAAATAAATAGTTTAAAAAGTCTCCTGCCCCCACGCCTGGCTGTCCTCTCTGGGGCCCCTTGGAGGGGAGCAGGTTGAGCTTTCCTCCCCGCCCCGACCAGGGCTCCGGCAGCCGAAGACCTCCAGGACCAGCCACCACCATGCTGAGACCACTCTCCGCACACATGAAAGTACTGGCAGAGGGACAAAGCCACGCGGGTTCCGGGGCTGAGATCTCCAAGCCTACTCGGATTTGGGCCGAGCATCCTCCACCCAGATCCTCCAAATTCCAGTAGGCGGGGGTCACACCCACCACCTGGCCCCCTGGCGCCGTGTAATCCCATCAACGGCCAAGACTCAGAGACTATAAAAACCAGCTCCTGGAACCACACGGCCGCATTCGCGGCCACGCGACATCTTATTATGACATCTTATTATCTCACTCCTACTTTGGACAAACTGACAGGCTACCTAATGTAGCCTGCCCACACGGTAGAGTCTGGCAAATTGCCCGTGGCGTACCCAATATGCCAAATACCAGTAACAATAATGGGTCTCATTCTCCTAAAGAGCCTTGAATATAATCTCAGGGCTAGGAAGAAAGAGACGTTACTGGGGCCTGCTCGAGGCAATCGACGAATAACAGGATGATTTGTGATTTGTGAATTAAAATTAAAAAAGCTCCCCTTTATAGAGTCATTTATATAAGAAACTTCAGCCCTGGGGCCAGAGAGACAGTACAGTGGGTAGAGCATTTGCCTCCCATGCAGGTGGACTCGGGTTTGATCCTTGGCATCTCATATGGTCTCCTGAGCACCACCAGGAGTGATTCCTGAGCGCAGAGCTAAGAGTTAACCCCAAACCCTGAGCATTGCCAGATGTGACCCAAAACCCAAAAAAAATTTCAAAAAAGAAACTTCAGCCCCAGGAGGATTTAACAGCGGGTTCAGATAAGCTCGGCCAAGCACCAAGTCCCCCAAAGAAAGCAGAGACGAACAGGTTGGCGCAGGGAGTCAGGCGTCAGTCATGCTGGCCACCCTGATTTGTAGAGAGACAGCAGGCTGCCCGCCTGCTGCACTGGGAATGTCAAAAGCCAGGGACGCACGGTACCTGGCAGTGTGTACACCATCACTGTGTGCTCAGGACCCGCATCCTCACAGGGACCTAGTCAGCAGGGAAGTGAATCACGGGCCAGGCTGCTGGAGCTCAGAATCCGGGAGAAGCGGCGTGAGCCATTTAGATGGTCACACAAACAGGCTTACCTCAGCATCCAGGCCTGGGGTGACACCAGGCCCAAGCAGGTAGCATCCTCAGCACCAGGTGTGCGGCTCTTTGAGCCCTTACAGTCTTTTCTGGGTGTGAATGGCCAGAGTTCATTTTGGATCTTTTTTTTTTTCTCCTCCTCTTCCTCCTCCTCCTTTTTTCTCCTTTCCTCTTATTCCTCCTCCTTTCTTTTTCTCTTCACCCTCTTCCTTCTTCCTTCTTCCACTTCCTTCTTCCGTCTTCCTTCTTATTCTTCTTGAATTCAGATTTTTTTTTAAAGAGATAGGAAACTCAAAAAACTAGAAATGGAGCTCCCAGCAATACCAATATATCCCCAGCAATACCAATTCTGGGAATATAACCCGGATATGCAAAAAAGCATAGTAGAAATGACATCTGCACTTGTATGTTTATTGCAGCACTATTTACAAT